ATAAAGATGCAACTATCCTTAGTCTTATTATCAACGGGCTCAATGGATATCTGCTGCTAACTTTTTGACCTATAATAACGATACGTAGACAATATTGCCCAGATCCCACTTTGTTGTCACAAGAATAAAGGAAATGATCTCTAACAAAAGAAGGTTGTTGAACAAATTTTCCTTGTAAACACCCTAGGAAATTTATTGGGAACTGTATGAAGAGTATGAGTACTTATTTTAGGATGTAGAGGTTTGTTATAACATATTGACTTTTAATCTCCTGAATCTCCTTGAACTAACAATCTATTCTCTCTTTTAGCCCTTTGTGGCGGTCCTTTGGCTCCAGCATCTGGGAACATTACCTCTCCCGGTTTTCCAGCAAATTATCCGAACGATGTTGAATGTAGATGGACTATCACAGTTCCCCTTGGATCCACTTTGGTTTTAAATTTTCGGGCCTTTGAAACTGAGCGGTGGTGAGTCGACTGTTCTTCATCAAGTTGTAGAGAAGGGAGCTAATAGAAACTATCCATGTGAATTGATGCGGCTTTTGTTATTAGTTAAAGCGAATGTTTCTGTTTCAGTTCAAGGTTTGGAAACAAAAGGAAAAAAAATACTTTTTAAAAAATTTCAAACAAGAACTATTTAAAACCTTAATCTTTTCAATACTTCTTTAAAAGAGGTAAACTTTATTGACATTGGCAACAATAAGCAAAAAGCTATCCTTGTATCGTCCTTTTCTTTTGAGCGACATATTGTAAGTATGGTTCTATTTCCCTTCGTGTTTGTTTAACGTAACCTGGCTGAACTAGAGGTTAAATCGAAAACTTTACAGTCAAATCGTATCAAAGTTCCACGCTTTTATCGTTTGGGTGAGTGCGTCAATTTTCCTCTCTTATCGAAATTTCGAAAGCAAAAGAGTGATTAAAATTCTGGGTAATGTAATCTCGTTTCATAAAAATTACTTAGAAAGTCGAATTGTGATTAAGTGTTGTGTGTTGAAAACTTTGCTGATTGTAGTTATCAGCTTTCAGTTCAGTTTATCTTATGCCTGTTCGCAAAAGCTTTTTCCCCTTTTGTATCGGTAGTTACATTTTTTTTCTTGCAGTTTTGATCACGTCAAGATTCTCCGTGGCTTTCGAGAGATACGTAGTTTGAGTGGCATATACGGGGCTTATTCGTGGTTTACAGGGAGACACGACGATTTCTTAGACGACGATTGTGATGATGACGACGATGATGATGACGATGACGACGACGATGACGACTGGAAGAAAAAATTCCGTTTTGGATTCGGAATGACAAGATTTTATGGTTTTCCATTCCTGCCTCGAGTATACATCCTGGGAAATGGCGAACAGATATCGGTTAATTTCAAGTCCGACAAGATAATCACCTTCAAAGGATTTGATGCCACTTATCGAGTTGTACGAGGTAACGTGCTCTTCGTTCTTGATATTCTGGAGGTACAAATAAGAATAAGAAAATTATGCACAAAAAGGCAGCTCTGATTGTAAAACCTTAGAACCAATATGGCTGCAATAGTTTATTGAGGGGAGGACGCTGGTGGGTCAAATTTCCTTTTCTTTATATTTAGCAAAATAGGAGTAAAAAATTGACTCGGCAATTACTTTGGAAAGGTTGGTTTTGGACTTCTTGCTTACTGAGAGTATATTGAGCCCAACTTTATTGCCCCCCCCCCCCCCCCCCCAACTATGGACAGTATCTGAGAAAATACGTGGTACAAAACTGAGCATTGTCCATTGCTTGGGTCTTTTGATACGCTGCGAAACCAAAAGACCTTTTCTATGAATTAAATCATGTATTCAGCAGTTGCTAAAAAATTGTAAGGAATAATGAAGATGAAGTTGACGACAACAGAAAGAATGGCAGGGTTTAAATACTGTTCTAGTATTAATGAAATACAAAGAAATTTCTATTGGTTTATTGGGGTGATCACATGACCTCCCAAAACATGACATTTGGATTGGCTCTGACTAATCAAAGCAAGCGTAACATCGCATTATTTCCTCCACAAACTTCAACTTGACTCATGCGTTTTCTTTTCAGGTCCAGTGGAAGGAAAGTGATCAGTGATGCCTGTAGAACGAACACTTTTGATCAATGACGTGATAAGATTTCTCTCGATGTTTATTTCTCTGCCCTTAAATATCGGTTGTTCTTTGTTCGCTTTTATGTGACCTTCACAAGTTTCTCTTCCTACATGTTGTTGACAATGTATGTTGAACTAATGTGAAAAAAACAACTTTTATCCAGTTTTCTTGCATATGAGATTTACGCGACGTGCGAGATTTACTGTCAAAGTTTTCAATCTGGAAATAGATACCACCCTTCTTGTAAAATTGTTGAAAGAAAAAGGGCACAGTAGAGATGTAACGTGCATTGTATTCAAACTCAAATGAGTAATAAAAAGGCAACTTACAGCGGTGCTAATGAGAAATGAATAAGTAAACTAACGACAACCTTGATGAATCGTATGTTGCCGAGGGCGATGCACACTTCAGTTAGCAGACTATTTCTGAGAGGTAATTTCTCACCAGCATATTGTCACTGATGCTAAATTGCAATCTACGATTCAGCCTCTGTTTTTCTGCGTGTATCATACCCTTGAATTCAAAGGCATCTCTTCGATGGACAAGTTGCCCCAGTGAAAGAAATAACCAATAAAGGATGCAGCCGAAGAAATAGAAGACGAACAAGCTAAGAGGGCTTGTGAGGTGTTTGAAGGTATGCATTCTGTGTTACTCAAGGTAGCATTATAATACCTATTATATCGCTGTTATTTTGTAATATATTTGGATTTGAATAATTCAGATTTGACTACCAATATCATCGAAGTTTATTTAATTCTGTCAGTTGCAAGGCTCTCAGTTTCATTCTCAAGCCTTTGATGGAGCAAATGGTAAAGAGATAATTGATCACACACCAGAATTTTGCAGCAATGTCACAGGCTGAGAGACTAAAGCAGGATACCGACTATAACTCCCCAATCCCTCTTCCTTTCTCCTTCCTTCCCCCTTCCCTTCCCCCTCAAGCGCTCATAATTTTTGCTATGTTTCGTTTTACATCATTGAACCCGTTACTTTTGCAAATCACAATTTATTGCATCTGTCAGTGTAAGTCTTCTAATCGTTTAAAGGGACATAAACAAAACAAGGAACGAGAGACAAACGTTTGTAAGACTGAGCTAGGTTTAGCCTCAAATACATGAATCAATACATATCTTGTCACAAGATAATATGATTGTGCTTATATCCTCTTGCTTTTTACGATCTTTTCACTCTCTGGACAATCAAGCAAAGCTTATTACAATATTAGGGAAATCTCAGTGCGAGTTACAGTACAACTTGCTGTCTATCGGACTAAAAAGATAGACCTCTTTAAAACGTATCAGAAGTAGGTAAGGGAAAAGCTTAGTAGGAATCATCAACGATCGTCGTCGTCTTCACGACCTGAAAATTGATAAAACGGCATTGGGTTAGTAGATGCCGGATAGGTTTAGCATTGGTTCCAGATGATCAAATTGTGATCGTTATCCCTTGGTTTTGACATGTTTAGATACACTGAAAATGGTGGCCTATAAGTTTAGTTATGGCTTCTGGTTTGATACAGATTAGATACGACAAGGATTTATCAATTCATCGATAAAATTAATTAATTAAAAAATAAACCTTAAATTCTTACGTTTTTTATTCGTGACTCTGAGATAAAATCCTCTGTCCTGGCCATCATTGCTATCGGAAGTAAACGTAACTATTATGGGTTCATTACTTTGAGATCCACAAATGTGTTCAAATCTATTTCTCGGCGCCCTTGGATAAATGGATGAGAAGTATTCGTCATAGGCTTTCTCCAAATCATTTAAGTCAATTTTTTCAAATTGGGAAAAACCATAAGGAGAATTAGGGCCAGCAACTTCATCATCGTCATCATCATCGTCATCATCATCATCATCATCATCATCCTTGCTACACCCATATTTGGACCGCTTAAGTCGGGAATCACCATTTAGGCTTAAAAGTTCTCGGCCCCCTTGCTCAAAAGTTAAGGTATCCCTGCAAAAGAATTATAATTTATAAATAAACAAACATTTGTATAAAACTATGTTTAGCACTCTACTGATGTAAGTTTTTCAAACAAAATTTTCCATTCAGACCACATATTTTTATCCCGACTGGGTATAGAAAAGTTACCATACTCGAATGGTCGATTATTGCTACATAGAAGAACAGCCATCAGTTGACGGGCGTATATTCATGCTGTTGGTTGTGATAAAGAAATTATAATGATGATAATAATGATAGACACACACAAAACGCTTACCCTGGTCCAAGGTCGAACCTCCGAAACTCTAGTCTAAGATAACGGTGTTCTCCAAGAGTTCCAAGATCCCAGGTTCTGGTGGTGTCAGGTGGATAACTGTCAGGGTAACCAGGCGATCTAAGGACTACAGTTTGGCCTGTGAACAAACATGTATAGACATTTTTAATTGGAAGAGATTTTCACCGTTTCTGATGTTTTGATATGAATGCTAATCAGTGGCTCCATGCCTGAAAAATTATTCCTAATCACGATAAGCTTTTTCCTTTTCGCGCATCTGTTTTCCATTTTTCTTTCTTTCAACTGACCGTTGACGAATGACACTAATTCCGTTAATGATTCTATAAATAGCAATTTCAGCGACATTTTCAAAAGCATAACGTCGACATTACGAAATCCTTACTTTATACTCAAAACATAATTTTCTCAGCATCTACAAAATTTGTACGTGGCCCTGTAGATCTTCGCGTTACTTATGCACACTTTAAAGTATGAATTAAGAAAACAGAAACTACTCATGCCCATTTTTTTTTTGCTTAATTAGATCTATGTTGTTGGTTTCTCTCGCCCTCTCTTTCCTTTCTCTTACGTAAATGAATTTTCTTAATCGAAAGGTAACTGATAAACGTCCTGTTTGGGTAAAAGCTGTACTTAGAGATTTTAGTCACCTGGTGTAATTGTAATCATTGTCGGTGCGGGTGTGGTAGGTGCGGCGGTAGTCGTTGGTGCCGATGTCGTCGTCGGCGCCTCGGTGGTCGTTGGTGCCTCTGTCGTCGTCGGCGCCTCAGTGGTCGTAGGTGCCTCGGTGGTGGTCGGAGCCTCTGTGGTTGTTGATGTCTCGGTAGTGTTCGGTCCTTCGGTCATTGTGGTCGGCGTAACTGCTGCATTGCATAAATTGGTAGAGCAACATTCTAACATACAAGATGTCAGGTTTCCTTCCAAGGTATCGTTACGCGAATTGCATAAAGTGTTTCCAGAGCAAAAAATTGTCAAGAAACAAAACTTAAGAAGGCCTGGCTGATTTTGATTATCAACTGTATTTACAGTCACACAGGAAAATCCTGGAGCACAGTTGTCCACGCGTTCATCAGAACAAGAATCATCCACGCAAGCGGCGCACATCAGATTGGACTCTATCAAAAGAAATATACAAATCAATGATTGATTTTAGCCAGGAAGCTTTGATCAAGAAAGAAGATGATTCTGGTGGGTGGACTGCAATTTTAGCAATTGCAGAAAAGGGATTTAAATTTGTTAGTTAGGCGCCTCTACTGACCGAAAGACGAGGCCCTGAATAGGAGTGATACAAAAAAGTGCTTTACTCCACGATTATTTCACGTCTAGCAGGATTTGCCCGTGATCCTATCGTACTACAAAATAGTCTTAAGGAATAATTTTATTCATTTAGTAAGGATAGAAAAACTGGATGAATACTGCCTTCGTAATTTTGACTGAAATCAAGAACAAGAAGAACAACGGAAGCAACAACACGGAAAAAAGAAACAACAAATAAGACAAAAACAATACTCAAACAAAAAAGCAAGAAAAGAAAACCCAAACATAAAGGCAAACTAAAGGAAAAAATTGAAGGGCTGTACTTTTGACTTCCTCCGATTAACTAAATCATAAATCTTCAAATACCTCGGGTTTCAATTCCAAAGTTTTGTTTGGCCTCCCAGCTTGCTAAGCTTCCAAGTTCTGTCAGCATTTTAGGGTTTGGCAAAGACTCAATTTCTGTAATGCATATCAACAGCACCTAAGGTAGTAATATGTTTCTCTGTTAGTACCCTAGTTGAGGATTTATTTGTCATTTATTGGACCCCTTGCATGTAACTGAAAAAAGTTGCATGATTAAAGAGCAAAAGGAAGAAAAATTATACCCATAAAGGAAGGAAGAAGGGAGATGAAATTGATTCTCTGTCATTACCCTAGTTAAGGATATACTGGTCATATATTGGACTTCTTGCATGTAACTGAAAATGTTGCCTAAGCAGATAGCAAAGGGAAAAGAAATTTATTACCTTAAAGGACATTAAAATAATTTCTTCGTATTGTGATGTACTCCAGTGTGAAATAGCCTCCTTCGTATACGCCTGAACTAAAAACTGTTTCCTAATTGAACAAAATTTCTAAATGTTGTAGATTGGCTTTGAACTCATTAAGCGTCGCCGCTCAAAAACACCTGCGTGGCGTGCACAACTACAAAACTTTGTCAGATATGTAAGGCATTCCCATGTGTTGTTTGAGAACAATGTTTACACGATAAAGACCCTGGGGCAGTTGGAAATATCGAAGAGTGAGTAAAGGACCCATAAGGTTTCAGTTATGCGGGCATCTTGCATTTTAATTTGTGTGGACTGTGAGATGGTAACTCACTATCCAAGCAATGAACAAGTGCGGCAAGATATTGTTTTGATTTGTTGTCTTGTTTTATCGGTAGAAACAGATATTCCTATCACTACAAAATATACACCTTAGGTTCGCAAAGGTGAAATGTCTTTTATGAAAATATTATATTTGCAAAACTGGTTATCAGTTGAATATACGAAGAAGTTTATTCTTTAACAAACATATCGCCGCAATTGATTGAGCAGAAGAAAATGTTCGTAATGATTGTTCGAAGCGTTTGCATCACAATACGTTTATATATATAAATACGTTTATATCACTAACTTTTTAGGAATCTCAGAGTTGAGCATCTAACAGCGTTACCGAAGAGGTGCAACTTGCTGTGTTTATGGCGCTGCTCTGCCATCGCATACTTTTTGCAGTTGTGGCATGTTAGTTATATAGGGAATCAAATTGCAATGTTTTGAAAAAACCGTCCATTTTGCTGAAGGTGTCCGCCAAGAACTTGATAAAAATTAATATCCACAAGGATTTTCAATTAGCTGACAGCTATAAAGGACCTACCGTTAGATAAAGCAGAGAACTCTTCATCTTGAATCGTTGGACTCAATCGACTGCTGTGGCTCCCTTTTAAGAATGATTATAGATGTATATGTCTCCACATACTTTGGGTCAAATATTGATTATCACGTTCACATTTTCCAGCCAATAGCGAGTGCTTTCATGGAGACATCACGTCGGAATGCCTGTATTGACTCGCTCCACAAAAATATAGTTTTGATTGTCACTTCCTTCTACTGATATTAGGATATTGATATTAGGAGAAAAACAACAAAACGATCACGTTTGGTTTTGTGTGCTTAACATTGTTCATGTTTTATTTCACTCATAACAGACATCTGCCCTGAGATATCGTATAGACAAGGTTAAGGCGACAGGCAATAGAATGTATTCATATATCTGAGTCACATTTGCCAGAGAAGTTATATTGTGCTGCGGATTCTTGATTTTTCTATTTCATTCCTGATATTTCGAACTTTGAGGCATTTGCTTTAATTCTCGGGAAAAGAGGCCATACAAACAAACCGCTTTCTCGTCTGCAATCTCAGAAGTATTTACACGTTGTAATATGCGGGATTTTTTCTTCTGAGTAAAAATAGATCATAAACAATCATTATAAATAAGGAGAAAAAGGACAGGAGATAGATGAACTAAGTCACATTGATCACTTAAAAACCATTAAAGCATTTGATGCCAAACCTTATAAACGTATGACAATAGCAGGTTCTTTTGCTATTGGAGCTTTCCGCTTTGATCGATTTTTTCCCTATACTGGTCTCACGGTTTAAACATATTCAAATATGAGTATAAAATAATGAAGCTATATTAAGCAATAAACATAACGGAATTACAAAAAATTTGGAAAAAAGTGTTATCAAGATAATTGATCTTTATAATAACGTTAACTTTGTCAAGTAATAATCAAATTAATATTGAAGACACCAAAAGGGAGTTTTAACTAAACTTTGATGAAGAAGGAGAGCTTGTTCTTTCTTTCTTTCCTTTTCTCAATTAGTGATTGAACTTTTAAGGAGAAAACGAAAGAAGATTGGAAAACAACGCATCCAATATCTTGTCAAAAAGTGCTTATTGAAAGTACATCAAGCTTTTACTTTTTATTCGAATTGAAGAAGTCGATTTTATGAGGTCAGCAAAGAAAAATTACAAAAAACAGGTGTTAAACAAGATTCCCTAAAAGTCTTAGAATTGTAGCTGCGATATTTTTGCTTGACGTATGCTAAGAATGTATTTGAGAGCCAGAGCAAGGAAGGAATGTTTATGTTGTTCGTGACGCTATCGAGTTTTATCTCAATTGTGTATCATAAGCTGTATGAAATACGTGTCTGTGAAAATGGGAATAAATCTGATTAATCTCACAAGCTAATATCTACAGTAGGTTTTTATTTATACAGAATCATAGAGCTCCACCGGCATTGTATCATCAGAATATCTGTGTGTAAACAATCTTTATAATGGCAATCATCTTTACGGTTCTTTAGAGTGATGTGTTTAATAAATTTCGCTTCGATCACGTTAAACAGAACACTATAATATTTATCTATGTTCCTATGATTTTTGCATAGTTTATGTCTACGAGGTCGAGATTCTTCTAAGTTGAAAGCAAAGGACGATGCCTGTATTGAATGTTGTGTACAACCACGTATCGCGTTGTTAATACAGACCGATCGCACAAAACTAGATATGAAGCAGCAACTACTCTATGCACTAATGACCGTTTAATATATTTTTTTGCGTGGGAAAGCATTCAGCACGGCCAACCTAACTTTTATTCTATTAATTGATGGTACTTTAAATTCACGCATACAATATCTTGCTTCAACTTATCTGTTCACCGAATCGATTGCAATATATACATACTTTTTGCAGAAAAGCATTCTATCTATCCAATTCCCTTTCTTTTCGATGATGGTACTTTTAAATCACGCTTTCAGTATCACTCTTGACCCATTCCTGTTAACTGAATCAATCGTAGAGATTACTTGAGAACACATCTTTCCTCTTCGAAAGAGATATTCAGACAGTGCGGCTCCAAACGGCATTGTGCCTGAAAAGCTAAGATGTTTACCCTTCCTTCATTAGACTACATCTTTAGCTTGAAAGATCAACAATAGCACCAATGTACACTGTACTGTGCGCGGAGCAAGGTTAATTTGAGCTTCGAAGTTATATGTATTGAATGGCTCAGCTACACAGCCATTGAACTATCCACAATCAAAAACCATTGATACTCTATAGAGGCAATAGAAACAGCCGCAGTTTCAATACAGAATATTTCAGGTCATAATCATTAAACTCTTCTGAAGCATTCAAGTCAGAGACAAGAAGGAAAGAGTACTTTTATGCCGAAATTTCATTTAAACTTTCTCCTCTCTCCTCTCTGTTACACCTCCTATAAAGCATTATGCAGGTATGGATTTTTGTGTATTCATGGCGCCTTTTATCCGTTAAGGAATTTTCTGTCCAAACACTCTTTAGATAAATTTAGAATTTGGCTCATCTGGGCGACGGATTTGGTTTTGAATGGAATTCTTGCAGGTAATATTAATTACGATAGTTCCCTAAATTATACCAATGTAAGCTTTATGCTGGTGCACATCACTTGTTCATTCGATTTTTTTTACAGTAGCACGCTTTACTATTGATCGTTTAAATCTTGGTTTGTTCTATATTTTGTTATTATTTTTCCATATTCATATTTGATGTATTTACTCGTGTTATTTATCCATTATTTCCAAATTTCCAGCTTTGTTTGGATACTCGCATTACTTTGGTTATTTATTTTCAGGCTCTTTTTAGCTTGGGCCGATTACAGAAGTCTTTCTTTCAACTTTCTTCTGACTTTTTCAAATACTGGTCCACGTAGAGTAGCACCTCACACAGTTCAGTTGATTTCTACAAATGTCCGAGTACAGAATACTTAATTATATCGCGGACAAGTTTGGTTGTTGCGATGGTAACAATAAAATGGCATTAATAACTAATTATGCAGTGGCGACTTTGTCACCAAACAGATTTTAGTTGCCTCGGATCTTTAATAAGCTTCTTCATGAACCGGTTTTATCCCTTGCTAAAAGCGCCCCAACAGTCCTCTAACAACCCTCTTGGCATGCTCTTATAACTGTTCCACAACTGTCAAGCTTACTCCTGTTTGAAGTAATTTAGTGTTAACAACCGAGTTGAAAACGTAAATTGGCCACCATAAAGAGTAAAAAGGCTGACGTTTCGAGCGTTAGTCCTTCGCCAGAGCGATTGATGAAGGGCCCAACGCTCGAAACGTCAGCTTTTTTACTGTTTACGGTGGCCAATTTACGTTTTCAACTCAGTTGTTAACACTAAATTACCTGCTATTCTCTCCCACTGACGCAGCACCACAGTTTCTTTAGAAACTTACCCCTTTTATTCATGTTTAAGATGATGAAACTAATTACAATTCTCTTACTATAGCTTGGTAGAATTGTATGAATTTGCATTCGAAATATGAAAACAGAGAAAAAAATTAAAAGGTGACAAAAATAGGGAAGGAACCAAGTTTCACGTGTTCAAGAAATTCATCAATATTCAACTAGGAGATATAAAGTGAGTTTTTCACAGCTTTAAATAAACTAAGATCCTTTCATCCAACAGTTAGGCAGCTGATATCATGCTACGAGTTGAAAATAGTTAATGTCTTACATTTATTTATCGTTTACAAAAACATAAACACAGTAAATGATTAAAAATATTTTTTATACCTCATCAAAGAAGTTTTTTGTTACAATATTGCTATCGGAAAAGAAGTGTATTTTTATAATTATCATTATCTCTATTTCGGAATTAAAACATGTAATTTCAATTTTTTTAGTGATCTGTGATGAAAAGGCGACGACAGAGCCAATTAAATTGGCATATTGGTATATAAGTAGTTACGCCTACTCGGCGCGTGCGAATTGACAGGAAGTTATAGAAGCTAATACAAGGTATTAAAATTTTAAATTTGACATGAAACATTGTAATAATAAACAGCTTTTGTACTTGACTCAGCATTTTAAGTATATCACGTTGAAGTCTTGATTATAAACAAGGATTCTCCTCATAAGATACAATGTATATGGTCTTATTAGAAATTTATTAGATACAGTAGTCCTCAAGGGGTCTTTTTTTTTCTTTTTTTTCATTTCTTAACTTTAACAACTCGGAATTGACTCGGTCAGAAAATCGTTGTAATATGCCAGAGTTCACAGAAATACCAGTTGGAGGTCAAGAAAGGTGATACAAGTCGACTCAACATATCTAACAAAAAAGATGTCAAAGTGACAAATAGGGTTAAAAACTATATTTGAGTACGGTAGGCTTTGAAGACTTTGTCCACAACTTTTGCCTCGGTTGGTGAGCAGGACTCGGGCATAGCTCGTGGACATTGTGAATTTATTTTGGTTGCCTAATGCGTGGCATGAGTACAGGTATACGCTTATTCTTTGACTTACTTTCCAGTTCACAATTTAGTTAACACATGCTTCCAGAAAGTTTTGAAATAAATCGAAAATGAATCATTATAATGGTGGGTGAGTGAGAACAGATTAATCAAATTACAAGCACTTCGAATGAAATATAAAGCTGTCCGACACTTAGACTATCACTAATGGAGAATACATTCGGTAAAGTTCGATTAGATGATTGATGTCTGACAGAGCACGTACTTGACGAGGTTGACAACTCTGAAAATCACCACTGAACGAAGATACGTCAGCGCGGGGTTGTTGAAATAAATATGCGGCATACAGGTATTTTCCGTGGATATGAGATCTTGAAAAGGAATATGATGAACTGATATAAATTATCAATCAAAAAATAAAACCATCTCAAACAAACAAACGAACAAAAAAAAAAACAGCTCGGAAAAGAACACAAAAACATAATAGCATTACTATATTTGTAGTTAGATCGCATATCATGTCTTACAGTTTCTTAGCCACTCCTTAGAGGCATAAAAGATGTATGAGAGTGATTTGAAACTCTACTTTGTGTATTGGGCGAGATCATTTTTAAAAGACATCAATTTGGTATCAGTTAGATCATAGAGTTTAAGATCAACAAGTGAGACATTTTTTCAAACGAAATCGATATTCGCGCAGGAGTAAATTAAAAGAGTTTAAGGTATAA